GGTAACCAGTGACTGCACTGTGTATGTGTCCTGATGCTGGACCTGACACCGCCTCTGTACCCTGCTAAAGGTGACTGTCCTGTCCAATTACCAAGCCCCTTCCCCCCCTCCAGACAGACTCTCCCTCAAAAGAACCTGACTGAAACAGTAATGGAGAGAAACAAACATTTTATTGCGAACCAGACATGAAACGTGGGGTGTGAAACTTGGACGGGGGCTTGTGTGAGGTGGGTAGGAAAGGACTTTTCAAATTTTGGGGAATGACAGCCTTCTGGTGCTTGAGCAGTCTGCAGGGGTGGAGTGAGAGTTTTCACGGACTATGCCACCCCTCCTTCTTTGGACTTTGGGAGAGGGGGGGTATGGGACTTGGTGGCGGGGGACTGCGGTTCCTGATAGACTGCAGCGGGGCTCTGTCCTCCTGCCTCCGTTCCTGCAGAACATCAACAAGGCGCCGGAGCGTGTCCGTTTGCTCCCTCAGCGTTTGAGTCGCCTGCTGGTCTTCCTGCCCGCCACCTCTCCTCACGTTCCATGTGTGTCCGGTGCATTTGTGACAAATTCTCCCTCCACTGGTTCTGCTGTGCTGCCTGGGCTCAGGAGCAGCCCATTAGTTCTGAGAACATGTCCTCTCGCGTCTTCTTCTTTCTCCGCCTAATGTGCGCTAGCCTCTGGGAGTGTGATGCCAAGCTGGGTTGGGAGACAGTTGCAGATGTGGCTGTGGGAATGAGGAAAAGGCAGTGAATTCCTCCGAAAGAAAAATGTGGTTGTGAATCAAGAACATAGTTTTTCTCTGTGAACAAGACCATGAACCACACCTATCACATGCGCACTCAGGACAAGGTCGAATTTTCGAACCTCGCCTTCAGTGCCTGGGCTTTTGCACTGCCGATCTGGGAAGCGGGGCAGGACACGGTACTCTCTGTAGCAGGCAAACATGGTAAGCCGTAGACTTGTGGCTGCTTAAAACTGTAGGAGTACCACTGGCCTCCTTTCACATTGAAAGCACTGCCAGTCTGTGCTGCCAGCAATCGGCCAAGCAGGAACTCTGGCCCTGTCCCACCCCCTCGCGGATGAGCCAGGGAAAGATCCCTGTATGCTGCCCCTCTCCCGCCCCCACCGCGTGGCTGTAAACCAGCGGTCACAGTTCTGTAAAGGAACTTGTTGCAAGCAGTCCCAATACTAACAGTCCCCTACCTAATTCAAAGCAGGTCATCATGAGCGACATAACTCTCATGAGGATCCCGGACACCGAGATCCAACGGATGCTTCGAGAAAGCCTGCAGAGACCGGGGCCCTATGCCGCCATGCTATGCAAGGCAATGATACCGGAGTACCTGCTTGTCTCCTGGCGCGGGAACGTCTCCTACTTCGGAGGACCAAGTAAAGCCGCTCTCCCCAGGAACCTGATGAACAGGCTATCCCATTACCTGCAGCAGAGCTTTGTGGAGATGTCCGTGGAGGACTACTGCTCTATCCCCGGACATATAGACAGGATTCTAATATAGCTGCAGTAGCAGGCACTAAAGAGTGGAGCAGCTTGGGCAGCACAATCATGCACAACCGGACACTGTTTGATTTTTTTTTAAATAGTTGTTACTGATTACTTAAGCGCCCAGGGGGAAGAAATCATGATTCACAGATTGTTCTTAGTATTAATATTCAAGTTTTGTAAAAAATAAAGGTTAATATGTTTAAAGCACTTACCGCTTGATCCTTCGCCTGAATCTGTGTCCAGGTTACATGCTGGGGAGGGTTGGTAGGGGATCTCTGTAAGGGTGATGTAGAGCTCCTGGCTGTCGGGGAAATCAGCTTGGTAAGCGCTGTCGACTGCCTCGTCCTCCTCATCTCCTTCCTCATCTTCCCCGTCCGCTAACATGTCCGAGGAACCGGCCGTGGACAATATCCCATCCTCAGAGTCCACGGTCAGTGGTGGGGTAGTGGTGGCGGCCGCAGCAAGGATGGAATGCAGTGCCTCGTAGAAACGGGATGTGTGGGGCTGGGATCCGGAGCGTCCGTTTGCCTCTTTGGTCTTCTGGTAGCCTTGTCTCAGCTCCTTGATTTTCACGCGGCACTGCGTTGCATCCCGGCTGTAGCCTCTCTCTGCCATGGCTTTGGAGATCTTCTCGTAGATCTTAGCATTCCTTCTTTTGGAGCGCAGCTCTGAAAGCACGGACTCATCGCCCCACACTGCGATGAGATCCAAGACTTCCCGATCCGTCCATGCTGGGGCCCTCTTTCTATTGGATTGCACGGCCATCTCTGCTGGAGAGCTCTGCATAGTTGCCACTGCTGCTGAGCTCCCCTCGATGTCCAAAGAGGAACTGAGATTCAAACTGCCCAGACAGGAAAATGAAAATGAATTCAAATTTTCCCGGGGGTGTGGCTGGTCAGAGCATCCGAGCTCGGACTGCTGTCCAGAGCGTCAACAGAGTGGTGCACTGTGGGATAGCTCCCGGAGCTATTACCGTCGATTTCCATCCACACCTAGCCTAATTCGATATGGCCATGTCGAATTTAGCGCTACTCCTCTCGTTGGGGAGGATTACAGAAATCGATTTAAAGAGAGCTTTATGTCGAACTAAATGGCTTCCTGGTGTGGACGGGTGCAGGGTTAATTCGATATAACGGCGCTAAAGTCGACATAAAAGCCTAGTGTAGACCAGGCCTGAGAGAAGTGAGAGCCCTCTCCCCTGCTCGTCTCTGGCTGGATCTGACCGGGGAATGGCTTCTGTTTCTCTAGCGGCTTCAGAGAATTTGTTTCCCCTGCTAATCCCTCGCCTTAGTGCTGGCAGATGTTGGCCATCCGCACCAGCGGTTAAGTCAGCTCTTTTTAATTAGATTGCAGAATTTCCTGCTTGCCTGGTATAGCTCATGAGACACAGGCGGCTGTAACTAACCCCCCTTCCCGGCCCAAACTCCCCTCAGCCCCGCTTTGCACCGTGCTCAGTTGGGCAGCCTGAGTTTATCTGAGCTGAAAGCAGCTTCCTTTTGTCTCTGCACCCAGGGCCTCCGGCATGGTGCCGATGGACATTCAGTTGCATGCGATGCAGAGACGAGACGGGGCTCCGGGTGCTCTATGGGATATAGAACAGGAAGCAAACACTGGGAAGAAGACCTGAAGGGCCCAATTCATCCCCGGTGTCACTCCACAGCGAGGCCAGGCTGAGAGTGAAATAACAAGGCAGGACAGCGGGGCGGGTGGGAAGCCTGCGCAGCCCCAGTTGCTGCTCTCCGACCCTTACCCGCACAAGCCCTCTGTTGAAAATAAACCGGACGGGCACCGGTGGCTGATGGGATTTCTGGCCTGGCCGGCCCGTGCTCTCAGGCATGCCCCACTTCCCCTCTCGCTCACCTCCTCGCTGTACTTGCCCACGTAGGAATAGATCTCGGAGAGCGCACTCATGGTGTTAAACTCGTTCATGTGCATGCGAGACTGCTCCGCCAGGTAGGCGTTCATGTCCTGGTCGCTGATCGCCGGCATTTTGCCGATGTCCGAGTAGTACCTGAGGGGGGAATGGAGAGAGCGACGGGTTTGCTTGGGGAACAGGCGTGGGTCTGGGCTGGCCGGGGCGGCCAGCTAACAACAGGCAGGTGGTATGGAAAAGTTATGTGTGTATTTGCACCATGGGAGCTGGGGCACTTCCTGGGTGTGAAAACACAACAGCCCTTGGAGGGGGTCAGCATCATTCGCCTCATGCTAGAGACGGGCAATCGGAGGCACAGAGAGGAAAAGGAATTTACCTAAGTGCCCCTAGGGAGTCAAAGGCAGAGCTTGGAAAAGAACCCAGATCTCCTGGCACCCAGTCCTGAGCTTTCACCACTGAACCACTCTCCCCAAGGTGGCATCACCTCCCCTAAGAATCCCAGGTAAATCTTCCCCCATAGCCACGAGAGCATAAGCAGCACCCTCTATCCCCCCATGATGTTGTGTTCCAAGGGCAGATCTTCAGAGGCACCGATCTGGGCACGCTCGACTGGCACCCACGCATCAGGGGTTGTTATTTCTAGCAGCACCCACAGTGCTCTCATCAGCCTCGGGACTTTGGAGATGGTAGGAGGACATCAGCTGGGGCCTTAGACAATGATTAATGGTTCTGGGGATCACCTGCTTCCCCCTAGTGAGCTGGAACACGCAGTCCTGTTTGGTGACAGCACAACATGTAGAGGGCTCGTCCTGAGAACGGACGTTGCCAACCGCCGCCGGGCTGCAGCTTTCTTCTTTGGGGAACGCTGTGTCCTGCCCTCACTGTAAGGCGCTCGGCACGAGGAGTCGAACTGCACTGGCCAAAGCTGCCGCCCATCAGGCGGGTGAGCAGTGGCAGTGCCGGTTCAAGGAGAGCTGTGCAAAGTAGAAGAGCAGAGCTGGGTCCAACCCAAAACCCAGGCTCCAAACAGCGCCCGAGTTCAGCTCTGGAGCTCAGCTCTGGCCCAGTTCTGCTGACTCAAAACCACTGTCACGCACGACGTGGGATCAGGCCAGTGCTAAGTGCAGCATGGGGACTATGGAACCAGACTGCTGGCCAAGGGAATCAGGAGAGACCTATTGCTAGGAGCTGGGGATCTGGTGCTCTCATTATGAGCAGACAGCCCAAGCAACTGCCTACGAGCCGCCCCACATGCCAGGATAAAAGGTGCCGGATACTGATTTAGTACAGGACAGGCAATTTTCTATTTCAATAAGGGACGTCCCTTGTAAAACTGGACTGTTGGCAACCCTATACCACACCCACATTGCCAACTGCACATATGCATGCCCCCAGATGCCCCCCACGGCCTGTACCCCCACGTGCACCGCTGCATGCATCTCCTCTCACCCCAATACCTCAACACAGACAACCCACAGTACACACAACCTATGCCAACTCCATTCACACCCCCACATGCATCCACAACCACGTCCACACTTACATACACACTCCAACCTTCCCCGCATGTCCCCTCCACAACCTCGCTGCACCAGGCGCCCCTCCCCACCAAAAATCCACCAGCGTCTCCCCTTATTTCCCCCCAGATCGGTCTTATAAACACACGTGCTGGCCCAGCGTAGCAGTGAGCTCCCTGTGCACCCAACCTGCTCATGGGGTGAAATCCCAGCCCCAATGGCAAAACTCCCACCGACGTCCACGGGGCCGGGATTTCACCGCTGGGATCTGGAGCTGCGGGGCTAGTGCTGCTGCTGCTGCACAGGGCTTTGCACACCGGGCTGTCTCTCTTTAAGGAAGTTGCTATTTTCGATGTCCTTCCTCCCCCGGGTACAGCAGGTCTTGGAGGACAAAGTTTGCAGAAGGCAATCAGTCACTGTCACTCGCAGCTGTGCTCTGCTGTCAACTGGTTAATTAGACACCATCATTTACATTTTTAATTTCGGCAATTTGACATTTTGTGCGCAAAAAAACCCCTGTCGCCAACGGGATCCACAATTTTATAATTAGGCGGCAGAAAGGACAAGGAGCCAAGCTAGCTGACAGGTGTCCTGTAAACAGCTCCGAGCCACCTGCTGAGCCACAGGCCGCCTTCCGTGGCAGGGAAATTGGGAAATTGGACACCGACGTGCTGTGTGAGAATCCCTCCACGAGGCAGGCAAGGGAGCGCTCCTGACAGCGCAGGGCGGACAGCGGAGTCGTCGCCCACGAAACGGGGCCCTGTTGCTCTCCGGGCAGCGGGCAGGGGATGGCCAGAAGCTGCAGTGGGAACGTCCGGCATGTTGTAGTACCCCCCGGCTCCTCCAGGTGGCTAGGCTGATTGATCATTGATTGTGTATGCCTGCCCACATATACTGCTTACAGCACTGCGTGGCTCTGAGTTACTATCCCCACTTCACAGAGAGGGGCTGGGACAACTCCGAGCGCACAACAGAGCAAGGACTAGAAGCCAGGTGTCCTGACGCTCAGCTCTGTGCCTAGTCTACAGCTTCCAGATCAAGACTCCGGGGAGAGGACAGCGCAGTCTCCAAGACCCTTGGTCTTTTTGCTGAGGCTGCCAACAAGAGCACCAAATCAATGGCAACCATGGTGCTGGTTTCTGTAACAGAGGCACCTGTCCACTGGGAACTGGACTGAGAGCCAATCCGGAGCCTCCAGGTCTCCTGACTGACAGCTTTGTGCCCCACCCACTGGACTGTACTACCTCAAGTGGAAAGTGATCTTGGCGTGGTACTTGCCTGATGAGCCTTTGCAACCTGCCCTGCCACTCTGATAACTGGCTCCAGAGCCTGATAACACAAATGGGAAGAGTCCAGAGCATCCCGCAACCTCCTCAGGAGCCAGCTCTGCAGAACCGACTCCAGAAGAAACAGAAGAGCTCAGGGACTCAAACGCTTGCTGCCCATGGCAATGGCTAGTGGGCTCACTGAGAGCAGCTGAGGGGAAATGTCGCCTGGCAAGCACAAACTGCACACTCAGCCCACGCTCTCCTCACATTTACCGTTGCCCCGTCAGCTTAACTTCAGTACCCGGAAAGATAATGGAGCAAATAACTAAGCGATCAATCTGCAGACACCTAGAAGATAATCAGGTGATAAGTAACAGTCAGCAGGGATTTGTCAAGAACAAATCGTGTCAAACCAACCTGAAAACTTTGACAAGGTAACAAGCCTTGTGCATGGGGGGAAGAGGTAGATGTGGTATATCTTGACTTTAGTAAGGTTTTTGATACTGTCTCGCATGACCGTCTCATAAACAAACTAGGGAAATACAACCTAGATGGAGCTACTATAAGGTGGGTGCATAATTAGTTGGAAAACCGTTCCTAGAGAGCAGTTATCAGTAGTTCACAGTCATGCTGGAAGGGCATAATGAGTGGGGTCCCGCAGGGATCGGTTCTGGGTCTGGTTCTGTTCAATATCTTCATCAATGATTTAGATAATGGCACAGAGAGTACACTTATAAAGTTTGTGGACAATACCAAGCTAGGAGGGGTTGCAAGTGTTTTGGAGGATAGGATTAAAATTCAAAATGGTCTGCACAAACTGGAGAAATGGTCTGAAGTAAATAGGATGAAATTCAATAAGGACAAATGCAAAGTACTCCACTGAGAAAGGAACAATCAGTTGCACACATACAAAATGGGAAATGACTGCCTAGGAAGGAGTACTGCAAAAGGAGATCTGGGGGTCCCACTGGATCACAAGCTAAATATGAGTCAATAGTGCAAAACTGTTGCAAAAAAAGCTAACATCATTCAGGGAGGTATTAGCAGGAGTATTGTAAGCAAGACACAATAAGTAATTCTGCACTGATTAGGCCTCAACTGGAGTATTGTGTCCAGTTCTGGGTGCCACATTTCAGGAAAGATGTGGACAAACTGGAGGAAATCCAGAGAAGAGCAATAAAAATGATTAAAGGTCTAGAAAAGATGACCTATGAGGGAAGATTGAAAACAAGGGGTTTGTTTAGCCTGGAGAAGAGAAGGCTGAGGGGACATGATAATAGTTTTCAAGTACACAGAAGGTTGTTACAAAGAGAAGGGAGAAAATCTGTTCTCTTTAACCTCTGAGGATAGGACAAGAAGCAATGGCCTTAAATTGTACCAAGGGTGCTGTAGGTTGGACATTAGGAGAAACTTCCTGTCAGGGTGGTTAAGCACTGGAATAAATTGCCTAGGGAGGCTGTGGAATCTCCATCATGGAGATTTTTAAGAGCAGGTTAGACAAACACCTGTCAGGGATGGTCTAGATAATACTTAGTCCTGCCTTGAGTGCAGGTACTGGACTAGATGATCTCTCAAGGTCTCTTCCAGTCCTAGGATTCTATGGGTCTCTGCTGCTCCTGGTCAGTGCTCCTGCGTTGCTCTCAAGAGGGGAGCTTTGGGGGCTGGGTAACCTCAGTAATGGTTCTGTCGGAGCATAATCCCAGGTTCCTCTGAGTTAAAGCTTCCAGTTAAAGTGCCCAACTGGCTGAGAAATGAACACATATTTTGGCACATGGAGGACTCCGTGGCTAAGTGCAGCCAGCGCAGATTGTGGGGAAGAGAGGTGGGGGATCAGAGCCCACAGTGCAATAACAACAAGGAGTCTGGTGGCACCTTAAAGACTAACAGCTTTATTTGGGCATAAGCTTTCGTGGGTAAAAACCTCACTTCTTCAGATGCATCTTTAAGGTGCCACCAGACTCCTTGTTGTTTTTGGAGATACAGACTAACACGGCTACCCCCTGATACTTGACACAGTGCAATGTGAGTGCATTGATTTATGGAACCGAAGAGTTGCCCGTGGAGAGAAGCCCTGCTCTTTATAAATATTCCATGGGCGCCCTCCCACTGGGCGAAATGAGAGAGCACTGGGATTACATCCCATTCAAAATCAATAAGGCCTTTGGTGAGAAGCCGCAGCACACTATGTAAACAGGCCCGGCTTGAGAACCAGTCTGAACCTTCCCTTGCCCTCCAGTTAATAGTATCATCAGAACAGTCGGCTGGGAGGAGAAATGTCACCTGGCAAGCCCAAACCGCACCCTAAGCCCAGGCTCTCCCCCACATTTACTGGTGCTCTACCAGTAGCGTGGAT